GATAAAGAAGAGGAAACTTTCCCATGTTTGACATGTGGTGAAAACTTTCTTAAAAACGAACATTTAATGGATCACATGAGAACCCACACAGGCGAGAACATTAATGAAAGTCTGTCCTGTGGAAAAAGTTTCTCTCAGAAATCAAATCTTGTTACACACACCAGACTTCCTACAGGTGAGAAACCATTTTCCTGTTCTATTTGTAACAAAAGGTTTACTTTAGAAAGTAATTTGACCAAACACACAAGAGATCAGACTTGCGAGAAGCCTTTTGAATGTCTGTCCTGTGGAAAAACCTTTATCTTTAAATCTGGACTTAATGAACACATGAGAATTCACACAGGTGAGAAGCCTTACTCCTGTACTATTTGTAGCAAACAGTTTACTCTAAAGGGTAATTTAACTGAACACATGAGAATTCACACAGGTGAGAAGCCTTTCGAATGTCGTTCCTGTGGAAAAAGCTTTACTCAGAAATCTCATCTTAATACACACCTCAGAACTCACACAGGTGAGAAGCCTTTTTCCTGTATAATTTGTGGCAAAACATTTACCACAAAAAGTCATTTGACTTTTCACATGAAAACTCATTCAGATGAAAGACATTTTTCTTGTTTGTTCTGTGGAAGAAACTTTAATCAGAAATCTCATCTTGATAGACACGTCAGAATTCACACAGGGGAGAAACCTTTTTCCTGTACAATTTGTAGCAAAAGTTTTACTAGAGAGGATAATTTGACTCAACACATGGCGATTCATGTGAGACCAATTTTTCCTCAATGACAAATGAAACTAATAATACTAAAAAGAGAGAGATATTGCTTCACATAAGAAACCACAGGAATGAACAGTAGAGGTGTTTTCCATGTTTTACTTGTGATAAAATGTCCATCTAGAAACTCCTTCACCTCATTACACGAGAAGCTGACTGATTAAAAGCCTTTTTCTAGCTAAGGTGTCATTTTCATTCTTTTTCATTTTGTTCTTTTCACTTCAGACATTTTTTTTTTTACTTGATGCAAATTATTATTTTCTGTGGTGGAAGTTTCCCTTTAATTCAATAATTTCTATATTGATATAGTGAGTAGAAATAACTTAATTTATTATAAAAATATGTATTGTTTCATTTAGGTTACAAATGATCTTTTTCCATGTCTTTTTTTCTGATATTTACATACAACCTAAAGCTGTAATATAAATTGTTTAATGGTATTAAAATGTTCAGATGATGATTTAGGGGATGTGTCTTCCTTTGTTTTCTGTGGTAATTGTTTGGCAAATTTAAATATTTCATATTTAGTTTCAACAGATGAGTTTCTAGCTCTTTGAAAGAAAGTTGGAGTTGGCAGGTGAGACTTTAAAGAAAATGTGAATACCTGATGGACCAATAAAGTCCATGTTGAACCATCAGCGGTTATGATGTGTTTCTTTGTTATGAGGTTAATGCGGAGCCATCAAGTCATCTCTATTTCATGTATTTGTTCTGTCACTGAACCAGGTGAGTCGAATCTGCACAGTATATTAAACTGTGAATTGAAAGATATTAAAGATTTTTCTTTAGGTCACCCAGAGGTCCCTTATCCACCCATTAAGCTCTGAATTGAATCAAAATCGTCTAGCCTACTTTTTCAGTGCTGCTTCATTTGTACGGGTAAAACTGTCATTGTGCTGATCTGGTTTTTAAGATAAAATTATTTTTAATTATGGCCGATGACGTCATTCTCCCAGCAGACGTTAGTGCTGCGCTTGTTTCTTTATATAAACTTATTGCCTAAGATCACATGTCATACTTGTGCTGGTACTTAATATAACAGTGGGAAAGTTTACCTCATTTAGTGGCTGGAATGCTTTTGATCTACTGTTACCCCTGGCAACCCCATGTCATTTCCTTTCAAGGTCTCACTATTTGTGAAACTTAACGTCATGGACTGCTGCTATATCTTTCCTTGTAAAAAAACCAAAAACTTGAATTGTCTTGGGGAGACCATCATTCTTGGGATAAGCCCCAAAAGCTTTGAAAAAATGTCCTCTTTGGTTCATCCAGATGCAGCTCTGATTCGGTGGGACTTCCTGATAAATCTACCCCCTCAGAAAGCACAGATACTGGGCAGTGGGCAGTGACAGATGGGCTCTGTGCTGGAGGTGATTGGGGACGTGCAGTGTTTCTATGACTAAAGTAAAATGGCTTTTTTTTTTTTTTTTAAAGCCACATAAATATGGGGGAGTGTTGGCCTAGTGGTTAGAGCAGTGCACTTGTTCTCTAAGAAGTTTGCAAGTACCCAAGTCTATCCCCAAAGTCTCCACTCTTGGTCCCTGACCCTTAACCCCACACTGCTCCCTGGGTGCCACACAATGGCAGCCCACTGCTCCCCTAGGGAATGCAGAGATGCAATTACAGTTCTATTATTATTACTATAAGTTGTAAAAAAAAACCTCTTGAGAGCATTCTATATTTCTCCCATTGTTAATATTATCTCTGTATTCCATTTTAAGTGAAAAAAGCGTAGCCTTCATCCTGTCTCTGATTGGCTGCCTAGTGAATTCATAGGAAATTGCTGCTGTTTGACTACAGCTCTGCTCTATGTAGTAGCACAAGGTAATGGCGGAGCAATGGGCGCTCTCAACGTGTGGAGTTTACAGTTTGCCGCTTCATCGACCTTCACTGCGCGGTTTGTATAGGGATTCTATGTGAATGCACTACACTCAGTGTTGTCACCACCTTTGGTCTGAACGCGCCATGACAGATCTATATAGATAGATGGATCGATCTAAATTTGAAGATTTTAAACTTCCCATCTGAGTTGGTGTTAATAACTGTCAACCTGTGTAGATCAGACATTTTGTGTGAAACAGCAGGTGCAAATCCGGTGCCATGGCTGGGGAAGAGGTACCAGAAAACCTGCCGCTGATTTCAATAACTTGCCACGGTGATGAAGCGGGTACCAGGCAGCCCCAATGTCTTTTTTTGTATCCTCAAAATGACTTCTGGGGATACAGTTATATTTCCCAGAGAATGCTGATGAAGATTATCAGTCATCCCAGTCATTAAAAAAAAAAAGTACAAACCTCTGGACTTTATTTTCCACGCTTGAAAATTTGGAAAACAAAATTGTTTTTTTTTTTTTCACTTTTTTGGAATTTCTTAGAGTGCTTAATATGGTCAACCGAGATCAAAATGAAACCCTTCAGGCCATGCAGAATTGGGAGGGTAATTAAGATGACAGCTCTCCAGCCTGAAATTTTTACTTTTGTTTTTAAAAAGAAAAATAACTACAAAAATTTCTGCTCTGTTTTTCCAAGGTTTGAGAAACAATAATTAAATTGTAGTAGCCAATGTGCAAACACTTTCTGTGCCTTTTCCAATAAATTCTGGAAAAGGAGTACCGGCGTCTTTTTAAGTGATTTTTTTTCTTTTCTGTAACAACTCGCAATAAGCTCTTAATAAGCTGGCTATTTGTGCAGTGAGTCTTTGCCGTCCTTTCAGCACGTCATATACATAACATGCTATTAGAACATATAGTTTACATCAGCAGTATACTGTCACTTCACATTCTGGGTCTAACAGTTTTTATTAATTGAAAAATGACACCATCAATAGAAAGTAATTATTTATTTACTTATTTACTAAGTATGTAAGTATGATTTGCCAATAATCAGCATTACTTAAACGAAAACTGCAGCCACCACCGTGGGCTGTTGACACTTTTACAGCCGGTCTGGCATCTTGGTAGCATCCTGGCATACTCTGGCATTATCGTGGCATCTTCGTGGCACCCAGGGGCCACTGACTTCATAAGTGTGCCAGCGGATTCATTTGATTTGTTTCATATTGCCACATTTGTTTTTCTTATTACAAGTCAAACCATTCACACAATTAGTTACCTTATAACTTTTTTATAAAATAAAAAAGAGTTTATTAAATAATGGGAATTTATTCATTTATTGAACATAAATATAGAACAGGCATTAAATCACCCCAAAATCAAACCGTTTGCCCGTAAACAGCAATAGAAATGCAGCAGGTGGACTGTTTGCTTAGTAACACCTTGTAGCAGCTGTAGTGGCATCCAGCTGCCACTAGGTGCCAGTGGACCTGCCATTAGTTATGGAGGCTGGACTGCTGGCATTGTGACAGGTTGTGGCAGGTGGTTGGTGGAAGTTCCACAAGCTTTTATCAGAAATAATATAAATAAAAGGATTATTTCGAAGTAGTCATAAAATAACAGGTGTACTGTGCAGCAACAAGCCTGGAAGTTTTTTTTTTTGCCGTTGCATGACAGTTAGAGTGCCAACGGAAGTGTCACTATTAGATCCAGCTGCCACTGGAGGAGCCACTACCAGGTGCTGCTGCCTTGAAGTGATCCCGACCCTGCTGCATTTTTTCTAAGATAGGATTAAAAGCTGCATTCAGGCCATCACCTTCAAAGTCAGCATGAATGTTAAAATCCCCCGCTATAAAGACCTTGTCAGTATTTTATACTAAATAAGATAGGAACTCAGAAAACTGATATAAAAATTGAGAATAAGGACCTGGTGAACAATGTAAAGTTGCAAACAGAAGAGTTTCTGTAGCTTTACAGTTTTCGGGGGTGCGTGCGTATATAGGGTTTAAACATTTAAAGGAATTGTAACTATTAACTGACTTTAGACTAATCAATATGTCAGACTGAAAGATTGTTGCTACTCTTTCTAATCTCCATAAATTTCTGGGCATATGAACACATACTTGGAGGGAGTTACTTAATCCTTGTGTTGGTAAATCAATTTATTGCAGATAAGCAGATAAAGAAATCTACTAACAACATTTTTAAAGAGAGAAATCTTATGTTTTACTAACTACATTTAAATGTTTTAACATTTTTTTTAAACATTTTATTAAAATGGTGAATGGGAAAAGAGCAAAGATCTTCTTGGTGGAAGCTGTGACAGTCTCGTAACTCTTTCCTCCCCTTGTATGGCTCATATTTGTTAATATTTATTGCCCATTTAATCATTAACAACTATTGTTAGGGGGATAGCTTATTGTCTTAGAGCATGTACATAAGAAGCAGACCTGAGGGGTGATTCAATTCAGTTTATTTACATAGTGCCAATTCACAAAACATGTAATTTCAAGGCACTTTCAGAGACAATAAAGATACAGTCATATTGATTAGTTTTCTATCCAGGAAAAACTAGCCTGATGGGTTACATTAAGTTTTATTACAATTTAAACAATATATTTTTTCTTTTATAATAAAATAAAATTGATATGTCTTCAATTGCTTCCAGGTCATATGTCCCACTGACTCTAAATCTGTTTTAAATTGTTCTACTACATTATCCTGATGAGGCACACTAACTTTTATTCAATTTTAAGCCTTTTTATATGTCATTTATATTATTTATATATTTTTTATATTTCTTTAATAGCTTCCAGGTCATGTAACCCAGTGACTCCAAATACATTAACCTGATGGGGCGACTCATTTTTATTCAATTTTAAGTCTTTGTATATTTTAATATTTTTCTTCTACTTGTTCAGGTCATCTGATGTGGGAGGTTTGTGTTTTTGTTGATGAAAAAAAACCCTCTTTTTATTTGGACTATAGTTAAATTAATAATTGAGATCAGGCTGTTTTACAACCATGTCTTGTTGAGATTAATGACATGATGGATTTCCAGGTGGATCTCACACCTTTAGAAAAGATTACATGATTGTTACCACATATGTTAACAGTTTTGAGAACAGCATATCTCAAAGTAATGTTCATGTCAACCATTGAATCAAATTCAGAACAAAAATATTTATCAAATTATGCTCAAATTAACTGAGATCATATCACCTCTCTATTTCCTACCTAATATTTGTATCACTGAAAGCTTTACCCTCCTCTACATCACTGTAGACAAGGATTTAAATGTTGTTACTCATGTTACTTTTCCTTTTTAGGTTTCTTTCAGTTCATCACTACACAAGCCAGAACAGTATTCTTAATGGATCCATACAACTGTCATCAATTCAAATCAATTCAGTTTATTTATATAGCCCCAATTCACATCATGTTATTTCAGGTCGATTTACAAAGGCAATTCAACCAGATCAACCTGTCAAACAGATACAAAGTTTAACCCAGCTCCCATAGCAGAGGATGAAGAGAGCACATCCAGTTAATCACAGTCAGAGAAACAGTACTACACTGAAAAACAGGCCAAACTCCAATATCTATATACAAAGGTGTTGATGGCAGCAGCACAGCTGATATTTCTCTCCAGGATGGTGAGCCAAACAGTAACAGACATGAACAGACCAGATGTCGCTACAATGGAAAAAAGCAGAGAGAGAATAACATTAGAGATTGAACTAACAAATTCTACAGAATGGGAATATAGGAATAGAGAAAGAATGAAGCAGAATGATTAAAAGGGATCTCTATGTCCTCTAGCAGTCTAAGCCTATAGCAGCATAATTATAGAGATAGCTCAGGATAACCTGAGCCACATGTGAGAAGGAGGATTTTAAATTCTATTCTGGATTTAACAGGAAGTCAATAAAGAGAAGCCAGGATAGGAGAGATATGATCTCTCTTTTTTAATTTTCATCTGGCTGCAGCATTTTGGAACAGCTGAAGGCGTTTAACCACAGTTTGTGGAGATTTTATGTTCAGACGATCCCTAATAACCTATTTTATTTTATAGAACTCTGATGCATTTTTTGTTCCTCTCTACAGAACACCTTCAGAAAATTGATGACTCAGAAAAGTTTTTTTTTACACATGTGTAATGATCTTTTATTAGCAAACTCTCTGACAGAGTAAAGATGGCAGCAAGACAGAAAATATAAAATGTATTTTTCTTCTGCAATGAAATCAAGTATCCTCCTCTCCAGTGATATGCCTGAGTTCTTCTGTGAAGGGGAACCCAGACAAGAGTTCCAAGATGAGCAAAAACTTGCCTCTGTTAACATCTCCAGGATGGGTAACTGCATTTCCATATAAGGGACTGAAGGTGATCACCTCATCGTTCAGGAATTGCAGGTCACCCTGCCTCTAGTGCTGTCTAAACATCAACATTGTGATCTTTTTTAAAACTTACTCACTTCCTTTATGGTTCAAACTATTTTTACAGGAAGAAAACAAAAAACACAAACAACATAGCCCTGTTGCCCTGCTGATTGCTATATTTTTAGCAAAAAATTAGGAAGCTTTTCCAGATGGCTTATCCTTTAGACCTATTTTTCTTTATTTCACCATAATACTTCTTTTTATTACTCAGCCTCTGACACATTGAGCTGGGGTATGTCTCTTCCAGGCAGAGGTGTACAGGAAGCGCTGCTGAGGCTAGGGTGTCTCATCACTCCCTTATTTGCCAGACAGTCACTGTGGTGTTGGATGTAAACACTTTACTTTGCTTAATAATTCTTTGTGGATTTAGGCCAGATTGCTTTTATGTGAGGTGCCCTTTATCCATCAATAGAAAGTCTTTCTTCTGTGCTTGTCTTTCCAGATCACCTACAGGATTATGTTGAAAAAGAGGAGGTTTTCTCGGACCAGCAGCTCTGTGGACAGGAGGGTTTTTCCAGTTTGGACCAAGAGGAACCAGAACCTTGGCAGATGAAAGAAGAGCAGCAAAAGACAGAACATCCCTGGACAAAAGAGGAAACCATGGAGCTCCCCATAAGTGAGCAGGAAGAGCAGCTTGTTCTGACGCAGGAAACCGAAGATACAGGAGAGGAACTTTTTCCATGTTTGACATGTGGAGAAAAGTTTCTAAAAAAAGAACATTTAATGATTCACAAGAGAACTCACACAGGTCAGAAGATTTATGAATGTCTGTCCTGTGAAAAGAGCTTCTCTAATAAATGTAATCTTAAAAATCATATGCGAACTCACACAGGTGAGAAGCCATTTTGTTGCACAATTTGTGGCAAAAGTTTTACTGTAAAAAGTAGTATGACTGAACACATGAGAATTCACACTGGTGAGAAGCCTTTTGAATGTCTGTCCTGTGGGAAACGTTTCACTAAGAAATCTAATCTTCATATACACATCCGAACTCACAAAGGCGAGAAGCCATTTTCTTGTACGATTTGTGGCAAAAGTTTTACTTTGAAAAGCAGTTTGACTACTCACATAAGAATTCACACAGGTGAGAAACCTTTTACATGTCTGTCATGTGGAAAAGGCTTCACCTTAAAACATGCTCTTAAAAAACACATTAGGATTCACACAGGTGAGAAGCCTTTTTACTGTATTATATGTAACAAGAATTTTATTGAAAAGCGTAGTTTGGCTTCTCACATGAGACTTCACACAGGTGAGAAGCCTTTTGAATGTATGTCCTGTGGAAAAAGCTTCATTCAGAAATCTTATCTTGACAGGCACACCCAACTTCACAAAGGTGAAAAGCCATTTTTGTGTACAATTTGTGGCAAAAGATTTACTGTAAAAAATAGTGTGACTGAACACATAAAAACCCACACAGGTGAGAAGCCTTTCAAATGTCTGTCCTGTGGAAAAAGCTTCACTCAAAAGTATCATCTTTATATACACATCCGAACTCACACAGGTGAGAAGCCATTTTCTTGTACGATTTGTGGGAAAAGTTTTGTGGTAAAAAGTCGTTTGACTAGACACATAAGAACCCACACTAGCGAGAAGCCTTTTACAAGTCCTGTTGAAAAGGCTTGACTTTAAAATTTGCTCTCAAAAAAACACATCAAAGGGGAGAAGCCATTCTCCTGTAATACTTGTGGCAAAAATGTTACTAAAAAATTTTGTTTGACTGAACACATGAACACAACTAATTATCTTAAAATTGAAGATTTATTATTCCACATATGTAACAGCAGTTAAAAGCCACAGGAATATACATGAGAGGCCTTTTCCTTGTTTGACCTGCGATATGTAATCTTTGTTTCCATTCAACTTACATGTGAATTTTAAGCAAACTTACAAAGTTAGAAAAAAAGGCAATGCCAATAAGCTGTTTCTATTTGGTTTGAAACAAATTAAACAACCACCATAAAGACTACTGTCCGTGTTATGCAACCACCAACACGAAATAGCAGTGTTGCTTCTAGCCATGTTTACACACATATAAGGAACATCCAGCTGATCAGTAATTTGAGGTCCAAGTTTGCTCTGTCAGAGTTGATTTAAAAAACTGTTTCCATGTCCTGTTTTGCACATTAACCCCTTTATAAAAATCCTAAACCAACTTAAGCGAGTGTAAAAAAAAAAATGTCGGTGAATTTAAGGGAATGTATTTGAACTTTGCCTTTTCCACCAAGTCTTCAAATGCGCTGTTGTGCAATCTTACCAACAGATTAGGAAGATATTGAGAACTAAACTGGAAGTTATAATTAATATATTTTCAGTCAACGCTAAACCAAATAATAATTGTTAGTTAAATTATTATAACTGGAATCTGCTTACTCACCAAGGTGCGTTAGTCTTCTTACCTTTAAGATTGGATACCTGGCAGGTGTTAACATCCAGTTATTGCCAACCAGGGAAAATTATCCCTTTTTCTTCAGGTGTTAACCAAAAGGGCGGATCTGGCTCTCAGAGATAAATCGGTCATTAAGAATGCACTGAAAATTCAGACATGATGTCTGTCTCACCCTTTCAGACACAAGTTTCGGACAAAGAGGACAGTGCAAGGTGTACAGTATTTTTAAGGGTGTAATGGTGTCAGTAGGGTGGGCTTGCTTATGTCATAGAGGACATTTGATCCATAGCAATGCTATAAAGACCAGAAATGGAATCCCAGAATTCAACGCGGAGCAATGAGAGACATTTAGGCCCCGTCCGCATGAAGCCGAACCCTGGCCTAAACGCACAAATTTTTCACCAAACCAGCCTCTCATCCATACGAAGCCGGCGTTTCGGGGGTCTGTAAACGATCTTTTTTTTTATTCAGCCTTCAGAGTGGGAAGATTTTGAAACGGCATTTTTGCGTTTCCATCTTTAAGCTCTAACCGCATTTTTTTTCTTACACGCATGCGTCATAGCGTCGCCGCCAAACACGCATGTGCGACACAGTATCACAACAACAATGGCGCCGTACTGTGTTGAATGGTTGCTGCTCATGCTACTCACCCTGCTGTCGGGCTTACAACAGAATCTTCTTCTTCTGGAATATCTCCAGGAAGAACAGAGCAATATGTCAATATCGATGACATAGTTCAGCACCTGAATTTGACTGACCCACGAAAATGGACCCGCAGGGCAACCATGTATAAATATTAGTGCGCATGCCCAACATTTCGTCGCCTATTTTTGCTTTGGCACCACAGCGCCACTTACAGGCCTTGCATACATTTTGCAGCGTTTTCATGCATTCGTGTGGACGATCACATTTATTTTACGTCTCCGTTTTTACGACAAACGTTCTGGAAAATATTAGCGTTTCGTGTTCGTTTTGACTTCGTGTGGACGGGGCCTTAAACAGTTTACTGGAATCTGAGAATATCATCACTGTCAACACTTGTGACTGGTCTGAGAGGTGGTTATATGGTAAGGTGAGCAGGTAAATCTGATGATAAAACCAGCAGCAGTGCCAGGAATCATGACAAATGCATTAAAAAAAGTTGATAGAAACTCAACTAATATGCATCTAGAAACTCCTTCACCCCACAAGTTAAAGGTCTTTTCTTCCTAAGTTTTCAAGAAAGCCTTTTATTGACAACATAAACTATCGCTACTCTATATAAATGTTTGTTTTATTGCATTATTTTCTGTGGTGGATGTTTCCCATTAAAATAATTTTATACTAGATTGATGTTCTGAGAAGAAATAAAAAAATATTTGATTTCATATAAGTTACAAATCCTCTTTTTCCATGTTTTCTATGATATTTTCAGACAACCTAAAGCTGTAATAAAAATGTTTAATATTATTAAAATGTTCAGATGGTGATTAAGGAACTATTCTGCAGTTTTTCTTTGTTGTCATTGCTTGGTGACTTTAATTATTTCATATTTAGTTTAAACAGATGAGTTTCTACATGTTAGTTCTTAGAGGAAAAGTTGAAGCTGGCAGGTGTGACTTTAATAACAATCAGAATACAGGAAGGGCCAATAAAACCCATGTTGAACCATCACTGTGTTCCTTTGGAGGTTGGAGTTTCTCAAATCCAAGCCAGGAACTCAATTTTAAAGTCCCCTGATCTAAGAATTACAGAAGCCCTGAAAGGCAAGAGAAAAAAAATCTGGAAAAGAAAATTTTTCAGGCTTTTTTTTTTATATATATTTTTGTTTCTCTCTGCCCTGAAAGGTGAGTAAAGAATGTTATGAGCAATAGAGAATTACTTTTGGGTATGAGCCAGAATATTTGTAGGACACCATAAGTGCTCTTAGGATCAAGACTGTATTTCCCAGATAATCTTAGACTTGCTGTCAGTCAATGCTTATCATAACTTGTTTGTCTAAATAAATTTAGTCTAAGATAGTATTAAAGGCTGCATTTAAGCTTCACCTCCAATGTCAACATGGATGTTAAAATCCCCTACTATGATGCCATTGTCAGTATTTAAGATTAAATCAGATAAGAAGTCTGAAAACTGATCTAAAAATTGAGAGAAAGGACCTGGTGGATGAAGCAAACATACAAACAGAACAGGTTCTTCTGCTCTATGAATGGGTGGGGGAAACTAAGGGTTAAATGAATTGGGTTAAATGAAAGGAATTGTAACTAATTTTAGACAAATCAATAAGTCAGACTGACACACTGTTACTACACTTGCTCTCAAAGTTTCTGGGTAAATGAAACCTTAAATAGGTGGAGGGAGTTGTGTCATTTATGCTAACAAATCCTCTTGTTGCAGTCAGGTTTCTGTGAGAAAAGATACATTTATCAAGGCATTTACTAATAAAATTTTAAAGAGAAAAATCTTATGTTAAACAAAAAAATAATAATAATTTGTAGATAATCTACCACGTGAAGCAGCAGAGGGTCAGCCTTCTTTGCTGCAACTGAATTTCATGGTGCTACCTTCACCATGTTGTCATTAAACTGGGGTGGATGGATATAAATAGTGGTTTGATGAATGAAGGTTTGTAGTCCTTTCAGATGTTGCACTATGAAGTTGTAGATGTTACAGCTGCAGGTGCTTTTTATCTAATGGCTCGGTGTTTGTATCATCAGGGCCTGAAACAATCCACAGTACACAGAACCTTGAGATGACAGGCAGCATCAGGGCTCTGTTTTCTCCACTATTTCATCGCCTTTATTAACTTTGGGAGAAATGATCATTGCTGTCATCAAACTGTCCAACCTGAAGACTTACTTTACAATAAAAAATGTTATAGTTTGTGAATCGTTTCTGAGCTTAAAAATGAACTAACTTCATCTTATATTTGTTCAATAGAATCCAGATGATCGTGGGTGGAGCTTAATTTGATTTTGTTTCTAGGTCCTTTGAAATCTGTGACATTATAGCTCCAATTATTACACTTCTAGTTCCTTTGTGGAGAAGCTCTTTGCTTAAATGTATCTCAGGAATTGGTTGGGAACTGAACTTTAAAGAAAAAAGACCAGTTCATTCAGTCATTCCTCAAAGAATTTTTCTTTTGGAAAAGAAACCACTAAATCTTTGAACAATGGAGCGTGTCACCAGATGTTCACCTGTGGAAGGAAAAAATGTTGATAAAAACACTTGGCTCTTTTCAGGATGCCAAAATAGAAGTTCCGTACTGTCTTAGCCTCCAAAGACAAGAATATCTTAGCACTTCAAAAAGAAAACGCCACTTTATCAGAACAAATGCTGAGGCTTGCTGCTGAGTGTCATGAAATGAAGGCAACTGGTTTACGCAGCACCGGTCCAAGATCAGGACGACCAGGAGAAGAAGGGACTTAAGTGAAGAAGTTCAGTAACTGACACAGATTATTAAGAAGCAGCAAAGTGATCATGAAGCTGCAGCTCTGGTTGGTGAGAGGAAAAACAAAGACAAAAGCCATCGAGATGCCATCAGAAAAGCCAACCAGATGATTTATTAGTGTTGCGCTGATGCCATTTTATGGCCCCAATACCCAAACCTGGCTGTTCAGTATTGGCTGATACTGATACCATACCGATACCATCTGTTTGAAATTGATGTGTGTGTGTAGGCAATATGAAGAACTGCATACTACTTGGATGTAAAATAATTGCCAAGATGGTTTTGTCAAGCTGCTGCCTACCTTTGTGAAGCAGGAAAAAGACTAATACAAAGTGAATCCAGTAGAACTTTTTATTGCCTACCTGGAATGGGTGACAATTGTTGAATAAAGTTTTGGCTCTCAAAATTGTATCGGCACCCTATTTGTCTGTAATCGCTGACACCGATACCACCATTCTAGTGCGGTATTGGGCCCCCTGTCTGATACTGGTATTTGTATCGGTGCAACACTAGTATTTATGCTTGTGAGGAACAACATAACAAAGAAAATGGAGATCGGTTTAGCCAATTAGATGGAGGAAACATCTAAAGTATGTTTTGCTGCTCTGCAAAAAATGGAGAGAGATTTGGAGGAACAACAAAAGCAGGAAAGATGGTTTAGAGACGCAGACGGTTCTGCTAGAAGAGGAGGTGGCTGTTCTGTACAATGAGCTGATTGTGATGAACAAGGACCGTCGAGCTGCCATGAAAAGGGCTGAACAGCTGAAAGAAAACCCGACTAAAGAGAGAAACAGAGCAAAAAAGGCTGAGGAGAGCTTGTCTAAGCTAGAGCAGGAAACCTGTGAAATAAAGGCTACTTTGGTCAAACTGTAGCATAAGACATGGAGAACCAAAGACTACTCTGGAGCCAAAAGAATGCCAGGCTGCTGACAGAGCAGCAGGAATCTGTCAAAAAAGAGCCCACAAAGGGCCTGGAAGACATAAAGAAAGGAGAAGAAAACATCAACAGAGAGTCTGATGGAAAAATGGAGGTTCTGCAGCAGAAGATGGAGAAAGAGCAACAGAGAAAAGCCAAATAAAAAAGCCACTCTGCAGAATCTGTTATTTCAATCTCTAACGTTATGCTCTTTCCACTTTTTCTCAGAGCAGCTTCATCTGGTCTATTTCTGTTTGGCTGTGACTCCATCCTGGAGAGGAATATCAGCTGTGCTGCTGCCATCAACACCTTTGTTTATAGATGTTGGAGATTGGCCTGTTTTTTCATTGCAGTCCTATTTCTCTGACTGTGACTGGCTGGATGTGCTCTCTTTATCCTCTGACATGTGTTGTGAATTAGCACTATATAAATAAACTGAATTGAATTGAAATCTAAAATGAATAGAATGCAATATGTAAGAGAGATTATTGTTTTTGTTCTTTTCTTCTGGGGTTGAAGTGTTTAACAGGAGTGATGTGAGAGTGTGGCTGTGGAGGTGGGTTCATAGGGGGGATCATACTAACCTGGGTTAATGCTTTTAGATTTCTTTAGTCCTTAGAATTAAAAAGAAAAAGAAATTAAAAGTATAATGCAGTTTTATTATTTAAAAGGCAGTAGTCTAAATATTACAATATAATCTGTCTCAATGAAGCAACAAAAGCTGCTGTGCTAAAAACCACTTAGAAGGATGCTTCATGTTTCTACAAATTGCAACCTCTTTTTAACATAGAAGATATTTCTGAATAATTCTGATTCTACAATTTAACTAAATAATATTGATACATTAATAATAAAATAGAGATTGATCTGTAAATAAAACAGTTTAAACACCTTTGTTGATATGAATATAAAATATAAACAGAACTAAAATTAATGTACATTTATAATTATTGCATACAGTGACCAGTATAGAAATAAAAAAATCACACGATAAAAACCTTATTGGTTTAACACCGAGGAACCAACACTCTTGTTAAAAGCAGAAATAATGAATTTATCAGTCAAATAATTCCACACAATCCAATAGTTTTTCTGAGGTCTGATTAAACTGAAGCTTCACAGTAGATCCGTGATCTAGAACATGAGGTCCATTGTTTTCCCAAATTTCTCTACATTCAGAGGAAACCTATTCTACCATTAAACTAAAAAATATTGATGAGTTAATAATAAACTAGAAATTTATCCAAAAATAACACAGTTTAAACTCCTTTGTTGAAAAAAAATGTATAAAAAACGAATCTAAAATTAAAGTACGTTTATAATATTTGCATACAGTGACCTGTAAAGAAAAAAAAAATCAAACGATAAAAACCTTATTGGTTTATCACTAAAAACCTAGGAACCAACACTCTTGTTAAAAACAGAAATAATGAATTAATCAGTCAAATAAATCCACACAACCCAAAAGTTTTTCTGAGGTCTGAATAACATGAAGCTCCACAGTACAGATCTGTGATCTAGAACATGAGGTCCATAGTTTTCCTAAATGTCTCTACATTCAGAGGAAACCTAAAATTAGAACCTGAAATATGGAGTTAAAAAGTAAACCAGCAAAGCAAACTCTGAGAAATATTAAACCACTGAGATTAAATTACTGATCTAAAACCTCAGGATTGTAGAGGTTTAGGAATGGCTCAACGTTAAACAGTTGTATTTCTTCATAGGTTAAGTAAAAGGAGGAGAAAAGCTCCTCTTTTCCAGATTATATGGTGGATCACACTGAAAACTGTTTTCAGATCAGTGTTTGTTGAACATCTAGCTGTAAACTGGTTAAACTGGTTTAAACAAAGTCTCTGGCTCAGTCCCATTATCTCCAATTGTTGCTCCTACCTCTTATTCCTAGCTTCCATCCCTTCACCTTTCATGGGGTCAACAGTACGAACACTATCCAGGGTGTAGTGATTAGTGTTACAGACGTCATTATGGGGCAGACACAGACATAAATGATGCTGGTCAAACTGATACAGTAGCAGCATCCAAGCTCTACAGAGCTCTGAAAATGAGCTTATTCTGGAGTCAGATGTGTTGAATCAATGATGCATCTAAATGTTTTAGGACAGCAGCCCTGGAGGACTGGAGTCAGAGAGCACTGATCTGGTGGAGGTCAGTTCCTGCTTGGTTCCTCATGATTCAATCAACTCTTCCCAACAGAAACACGTCACCCATATAAAGATTCCTTTAAATCAAACAAAAGTGATTTGACTAAAACCTCTTTCGATAAATGTCAGAGGATGTCAAGCTTTCATTCTTTAACTCTTGAACTTATTGAATGTTAGCTCCAATCTGTGCTCTCCTCTCTACCTATTAGGAATACCTACTTCCTGAGCCTTTGACTCCACCAATCACATTCCTTTGTTCTGCAGAGACCTCTACAGAAGGAGTTTGTGGTTAAAGCTTGTATCTCCATCTCTGCAGAATGACTCTAACTTCTTCATACAAACTTGTAGTTCTAGTTTGAATATGAGCTTCTATTTCTGTCGAATATTCAAATAAATGTTGATTCTAGGCAATCATTTTCTATGTTTTATAAGGTTGCAGTTGTTCTTTGTCACAGTAGATGGTGCAGCTCCAGATGCTGGCCTGTAAGTACCTGCAGCAGGTGGAGCAGCTGGACGCTGACTCTTTCCTCATGGACCTCCAACAGAACCTAAGAGGTGGATGGAGAACATTGTGATGGATTCAAACCAACAAACTTCAGATAATCAGCTAGTGTTTTTTCGGGCTTAGCTATTTGCACTGACCATGTGACAACTGAATGCTTCTCTTCCAAATCCTTGTCTTCTCCAGGAAGGGTCCAAACTAGGGTGACCATATTTTCATTTGGGAAAACCAGGACACCTTGGAGGGGGGTATTTGCTCCGTGATCAGAGGAAATGTTACTTGGCGCAGAACAGTTGTGAAAATTTGAAGTTCAGTTTAATATAATAATACAACTCTGTGAATAGTTCTGTCTGAAATTAATGAAAATAGTTGTTTTAATGGTTATTGAGTCAGATATTTGGCGGTAATGTTTGGTGAAAAAAAAAATCTAAAACTGATACTGTGTAAATGTGTTTGGCTGCAAT